AAGTTGTAGGCTCTGAAGAGCTTCATATCAACAACCTAGATCTGAAAACCCCTATAACATTTTTTTTCTTTTTCCAACAATGTGTAAGTGCCCAGTTCATGGCTCATGCCACCTAATAAGATACTATCAGCCTCCAGTACAAGGAAAACCCTGCCTTGTGCCGTTCCACTATGAAATTGAGAACTTTTAAAAAACTAAATGTTTTCCTTGGTTTTTGGCACTGGACTATATACCTTGCCCGTTGCACTTGTGACTATATCAACCATTATGGAATTGCTGTTTTTCTGATTTACTTTTCTTCAGAGCCTAGCTTTGTTATTTCCTCTTTTATGCTTTCCTTTTTCTTTTTTGTCTTTACATCAAAATCTGCTGCAAGATTCATAATGGCTGACCACGACACAGACGAGGAGAATGTTCTTGCGGGCGGTGGCACCTCGTACTCTACGGAGCACCATAGGTCTACGAGCCAATGAGAGCTTTCCCTCAAAAACCCAATCACTCAATGGCCACATATATGATATTCCCGTCCTCCCTCCCTGACTAGACAATGAGGAATTGTGGTACTCTTTAGACAATACCTTAGTTACTTTTTTTTTATTACTATTTTTTCAACGATTTTCACTTTTCTTTTCTCCTATGATGCAGGTCCACACAAATTGATGCGTACCTTGCTGCTTAAGCTACGGTGAATGATAAAAAGTACAAATTCAATTTATAAAATGAGTAACATTTGTTTTCTCCCCTGAAACTGAAACAAATTAACCTACATCTTCAGGTTTAATTACCTATAAAAGTCAAGATAGAAGTTAAAAACAAAATCTGGTGTACCTAAGTTGACTGTAGTTTCAAATGGCCATTGAGAGGGGTTCTCTGGGAAGGGGCTGCCAGTGCTGTGTTCAGGCTGGAACAACGCACCGTCACTAAAAAACCTAAGGTATGTAGAAATCCATGGTATACATCAACCAGCGGCATATGAACACCTGTGTCGTAGTTTACACCAATGGCCTATGGGGCACCAGTAGCAGACAACACACCACTGGAATCTGGGTCAGGTAGACCAATACACGGCATCAAAATTTACTGCCTTTTACCTGTTGTTGTTGTTGTTCCTGTGTGTGTGTGTGTGTGTGTGTGTGTGTGTGTGTGTGTGTGTGTGTGTGTGTGTGTGTGTGTGTGTGTGTGTGTGTGAGAGAGAGAGAGAGAGAGAGAGAGAGAGAGAGAGAGAGAGAGAGAGAGAGAGAGAGAGAGAGAGAGAGGAGAGAGAGAGAGAGAGAGAGAGAGAGAGAGAATGTGTGCCTGAACAAGAGTGAAGCAAGTGTGAGAGAGAGAGAGAGAGAGAGAGAGAGAGAGAGAGAGAGAGAGAGAGAGAGAGAGAGTGTGTGTGTGTGTGTGTGTGTGTGTGTGTTGTGTGTGTGTGTGTGTGTGTGTGTGTGTGTGTGTGTGTGTGTGTGTGTGTGTGTGTGTGTGTGTGGTGTGTGTGTTGTTGTGTGTTTTCGCATGTGTGTGTGTGTGTTTTCGCATGTGTGTGTTTTTCGCATGTGTGTGTGTTTTGCATGTGTGTGTGTTTTCGCATGTGTGTGTGTGCATGTGTGTGTGTCGCATGTGTGTGTGCGTTTGCAAAATGTGTATGTGTTTGCATGTGTGTATTCGCATGTGTGTGTGTGTGTTCGCATGTGTGTGTGTGTTCACAAGTTTGTGTGGGGGTGTGTGTTCGCATGTTTGTGAGTGTGTGTGCCTATGTTAATGAGTGTGTTCATGTTTGTGTGTGTGCGCGCAAGTGATTTTTTATATTTTTTTTATGGGTTCAATGAAATTTAATAAGGAGCAGATCCAAAATAAATCATTACAATTCCTGTTGTACTACACTGTGAATGATATAAAATAAGTGTAATTATATGGAACTTACAAAAAGGACAGATGCACAGGTAACAGCAGAAGCAGATGTCAACTCTACCTGTGGTGTGCTGCATGCCAATGATGTACAAACCACCAATGGCAGACAAACACTACATTCATCAAAGTATCTGACCCCTTTAGGATGATCACAGTCTTTAGATTTCTCTCAAGCATGTAACAAATAAATCTATTTCTGAAAAAGTACTTTTATAAACTTCAACATTACACTGAGTAATTTCATACAACCACCTAAAAGCTGAAAAAATGTAAAATTTAACAATGCTACTACTGCAAGCCAATTAAGAAGCAATAACGAAAAAGGGTTCATTTATGAAATTATCCAAGAGTTTGCTATATTCCTTGCAAGATGAGCAAAATCTATGCCATAGTCTGGTAGTGTTAGGCCTCTACATCGTACTGGCTACGAGAAATGACCATAGTGGCACAACACAGCACGGAGGAGGGCAGGACATGGGTCTCTGTGACACCCCGTCCTCGAAGGCAGCCCCAAGCCACTGAGCGCTGAGGTCGTATGGTAGGAGGACAGTCTCTCTGTTTTATTTTATTTATTTATTTTTTCTTTTTTGTTTTGTTTCTGTAATGTGTTGGTTACAACCACTCCAAACTTCCAACTTCTCTGTTAACTTTTACTAAACTGGTCTGTGGCAACTCAACAGTTTCAAGGGTTTCAAAAGATGCAAGGACCTACATTGTACATGTAAGCAGTAATCTGAAGACTCATAAAACTGCCAAGCTTGCCCTTTGCCTGACATTTACCTACCACCCTGTCTCCCAACAGCTGCTAGACTATGAGCATGTCTGGGAAATAAATTCTCCACAAAAATCTTTACAGCCAGTTGACTGGTTGAGCGGAGTCTGGGTTGACGCTTAAATTGGCCATTTCAAATTGGCTTTCTTGTGAGAATTTACCTGCCAAACATGCTCTATGTACACATCATGGACCGCGCACACTGACTGTGAGTGAGCTCTGCGTTCACAAAAAGGGTATGCCACTGTGAGCAAATGTACACAATGATAATAATTATAATCACAATAATTAATAATGATGATAATAATAATTATAATGACAATAATAATAATAATGACAATAATAATAACTATAAGTATAATTGATGCTCAGAGAAGGGTAGGGCAAGGGCATTATTCACCTGACTCTCATCCAAATCTTAACTATATTCATTATAAGCCTTAAATTGCAAATTAGTGAAGTTTGCTTCTCATTCAGACACAGATATATCTAATTTCGACAGCATCGACATACTGACGGATGTGCCTTATATGTTATGACAAACCAGAGAATAAATGCCCTGTGACGAACACCATTCATGAAAACAGCACTTAAGGGAAAGATGCAACATAAGAACAAAATTTACCTAATACAAAATAAAATAAATTGATAAAAATGTGAAAAAAAACAACAACAACACAGAAATCAGTAGGTAACATGGGGGGTAAACCCTGATTTTTTCCATTGGTATGGTCTTGTTTCAATTGCCTTTATCATTACTTCTAAATCTGTTTTATTTTATTGCAGCTCTCCTATGGGATAATCTTTTCCCTTGAGAAAAGAAAATAGAAAGAAAAATTAGGGAAAGATAGAAAACAATGCAAATTGTGGCCAAATACTTTTTGTGAACATTATCACAAAGTCATAAAAATTGGTCTTTTAAGTTTTTTTAGTGCTTTCCAAGTTCGGATCACTGATGTTCCCTAGCATTATCATTCTTGCACTGTGAATCAAAGAGTAATATGAATTTCCATGTATTTTTCATTCATAATGTTTGAAATATTCCTTTCCTCTCTTTAAAGTATGTATGCATACAAGTGTGTGTGTGTGAGCATGTGTATGTGAGAGTGTCTGTGTGAGTGTGAGAATGTGTCAGTGTAAGAGTGGGTGTGAGTGAGTGAGAGAGAGAAAGACTGTGTGTGTGTGTGTGTGTGTGTGTGTGTGTGTGTGTGTGTGTGTGTGTGTGGTGTGTGTGTGTGTGTGTGTGTGTGTGTGTGTGTGTGGTGTGTGTGTGTGTGTGTGCGCGCGTGCACGTGTGTGCGTGTATATGCCTGAGTGTGCACGCGCATGTATCCACTTATGTATGTGTCTACATGTGTGTCTGTGCATGTACACCCGTGTGTGCGTGTGTGTGTGTGTGTGTGTGTGTGTGTGTGTGTGTGTGTGTGTGTGTGTGTGTGTGTGTGTGTGTGTGTGTGTGTGTGTGTGTGTGTGTGTGTGTGTGTGTGTGTGTGTGTGTGTGTGTGTGTGTGTGTGTGGTGTGTACGTGTCCACGTGTGTGTGTGTGTGTCCACGTGTGTGTATGTGTGTGCATGCTTAAGGAACATATCATGGGGCTACATAATTATTTTGTTGTTGTTTGAAGCTAATATGTATGAGGGTTTACAAATTCACTACAAAAACATTTATGGCCAATGACTTTGGAGATAAAGTTTCATATCAAGATTAAAATTGGTAATTCAGTTAAGAATACTTTTAACATAATTCTCACTTTCATGATTCTGGAAAGTGTCCACAAACTCAGCAATCTGTTGCTTAAATCAAGTGTAAAATTGAGAGGGGGATATGTATCAAAAGTTTTGACCCCAATAGTTGAAATTAATTCTGTTTCTTTCATCTGAACAGAGTAGAATAAAACTGTTAGCAAACTTGCTAATTATTTAAACTAGTCTACCAACACTGAAACCAAAAATGGATTTCTGTTACTTCTATTTGAGACTATCCACTTCCTTAAAAACAAAAAAAAAATTAATTTGGTTTTAGTCAAAACCAATACCTATGGAATCCACTGTATATAAAAAGAAATTACCCCGTCATTTCCTTAAAAATTATATAAAAGCAAAGGTAAAAAAAGTGAGCAAATCCTCCATCATTAAAAAAAGAGAAATAAGACAGGGATAAAATAGCGACCACACATGACGGCCAATGGTGGGTCCCCCAGATCACAAACTGTAGACAACTGGTGAGGAAACGTCAAGAGGAATGAAGGGTGTGCTGAGGTCTTTGGCATGATGTTGATAGGGAATTAGGGCAGTTGAAAATTGAAAAGATTCAGCATGAACCAACAAAAAAAGAGATAATTTATGACTGTATTTTGATACTTATGGTTTTGAAGTACAGATTGGAATATACTCTACAAATGCTACAAGCTGCTATCAGACTGAGCAGAGTCCAGCTGGCCTGAAGCTGGATGTGCAGGGTGGGGTTGTTGTGTAGGATGGAATGAGAGGGGAATGGGATGACTGATGACTGATACTACACTTGGATATGGGTGTTTGACAGTTCCTGTTTGAAAATTGTAGCAGCTGGTTTAGTGGGGAAACTGGCTCAACATGAACAGAACTCAGTGTCCTAAGAGATGTGATTTATGTAATGCATCAGCAGGATGCACAAAACTTAGCTGTAAATGCACCAGCTGCTTGCATATATAGGATCCTGCTGCACGAATGATACATTTAATGAGGTGTAGAAGAAAGTTACACCATATGCTTTTGTGGGAGGGATGAATGTCAGGGAAAGAAAATTGTAACAACTGTATATGCATGACTGTTTACATGTAAGAAAAGCTGAATGTTTCTTTTTGTGGGTTGATGCCTGTTCACATGTGAGCAAACTGGATAAATGCTTAGATTTCTGGTGGTCTGTATCACCATTGGTAAGTGAATTTTATTTTTTGTTACTGAAGATTTTTAAATGTTTAAGCTGCCAAATATGAGATCAATGTTTGTGTTACTGTATATAATGAAATACCTGTGTATGCCTATTTATCTCACTTAACAATGACTTTTTCAATGTAGAACAAGGCTAAAAGGTTCATGATTAGATTTTTAGTAATCAACTATCCGTTTTGTGTTGTCTACACTTTTGAACTGGCTCACTATGTGTAATATTTCTGTTGTGAGAGAGGAGCCAGCTGAACCAGTGTTGCTCTGAAGGTGTTTTTTTCTGCATGATAAGTGCTTCTGCAAGACTGAAGATTAGAAAAAGTTTGGGAAAAGTAGTAGGAGGACACGTGAGTGCAATAATTCAAAATGCACTCACTGAATACTGAGTTATGAATGTTATGCATACTATCAGACAGACAAAGGGAAAAAGGAGGGGTTTACTGCACTATCAATGCATCAGTGGCAGGCAATATGCTGGTGGTGATCTATTGATGGGTGTGGTAGTGATGGCATTATTTGAGGAGTGTTGATGAGGGTAAGGGAAGTGGTAGTCTAGATGTGGTGGTGGCGGTGGGGGGGAGGGAGTTCCTGAGACTGGATTAGCCAACGCAGCCGGCCCGGCCCCCGGGCAGCCCGGCAGCCAGATGCAGGGCGGCCCTTGGCCAGTCCCTCCTCACCAGAATAATAAATAACAAGATAAAAGCAGTGGCAGGAGAGAGAGGGGGGCCGGGGGGCGGCGGCGCTGAAACATGGGTGGTTCCCCGCCAGCCTCCACTCTGGGTGTTACAGGCTCACATCACACAGGCACACACGGTCCTGCACCACAATGTGCCCACCCGCCCTGCGCTGTCTCGGCCCAGGCTCACTTACTCCTAGCTGTCCTAAGCCTGGCTGCCCACTGTTTACAATACACTGTTGAGCAGGTTGCTAGGTCAGCCCAGGGGTTAATGACTGGCCAGGGGGCTGTGCTGCACCACCATGGGGCTGTCCTCACCCCCTGCACCAGCCCTCCTGAGCACTACCACCACCTCCTCCTCCTCCACCTCCTCCTCCACCACCTCCACTCCTCCTCCTCCTCCTCCACCTCCTCCACCACTGCTGCTCTGTCTTTGTCCCACCCGCACTGCTCCTGCTGCCACTGCTGCTGCTCCTGCTGCACCTTGCTGAGACATGGGCAGCGGTTGTGGTTGCTCAAGATGACCCCCAGGTGGGCGTGCCCCTTCATACAGCACACTGGGGCCCCCTGACACAACCGGCACTAGAGAACCACCAGGGTAGCTATACCCGACCATGCTTCCTTGTCCTCCACTGCCTCCACTACTACTGGAAGTGGAAGGTGGGAAGGAGGGAATGCCAGGATACTGGTAGGATGCTTGGGGTGGACCACCACCACTACTACCACCACTAGGTGCCAAGGGCAGATTCACAGAGCCGGTCTGGGTACAGTCCAGTGCCATCGGCAAATATGGGTGAGCTGCATACACTGCCGTTGGTGGCAAAGATCCTCCGGCAGCAGCTACGCTGCCTGCTGCCGTAGCCTGAGGTTGGGGCCGTCCGGCTGCATCTAGAGGGCGAGGGTCCAGTGGTCGACAACGGTGGGCATGGTATGGGTGCACGTGGCGGGGATGGTGGGCAGAGTGGGGAGGATGAGCTGCATGATGAGTAAACACCTCACAGTCCATAGCCCCATGAGAGTGCCCTGTGTGAGTGTGCTGGTGCGAAGGGTCTGACCGTGCACGACCCGACACCACCACTGAAAAAAAAGTAAAAAAATAAATAAAAATAAATAAACAATAAAACAAAAATAACAAAACTATTACAAATTAATAATTTCTACTTCAATAGAAAAAAGAAAAAAAGAGGACAAGAAACTGTCATTTACAAAGCCTCATATATTACATATCTACTGGTAATGTGAAATAGAAATGACAATACACTAACAGGTCGACTGTTTTTATGGCAGTATCTACAAGTTTACACTCAATTACCATAGTATAGGCTACACCTTCAAGTAAAGTATATCATAAAAGAAGTCGTGAGTTTGACCAACCAGTTTGTGAGGTTGAATGGTTGATTGGGGAGGCCACCGTGTGTTCAATTGCTGGACTGGTGGAGTTACTCGTGTTTGTGGATTCGTCACTCGTTCGTTTGAAGAAATTGTGCTGCAGCCCATAATATGGAGTGATCCGTGTCTTTGGGTCATAATCAAGCATTTTCTTAATCAGATCCTCAAACTTGAGATAATCCGAGACTGAGTGACCCTGCTCATTCAAGCGCCGCCCGCCCGGACCGCCGCTCTCTACCCCAATAATGTCCCGCAATTTACGACTCATTGGCGGCTTGTATTTCTTGCCATCCTTTGGTTTCTTTAGAATATAGGTCCCATCAGGTAACTTATCAAAATAGCGTCGTGCTTTAGTCGCCATGTCAAGGATGTGCTTTGGTGGCATCCCTAACACTTCCACTATCTTGTTCATCTGGTCCACCTGCAGAAGAGACTACAGCTTCAGAACAGTCTAATTATAAAGAAAAGTATGCGAGGTGCTGAGACTTAGTGATGGGCACTCCCAAAGTTATCAAAGATTTAAGGAGATACAATAAAATGTAACTACTTTAAGAAAGAGTTTAAAGCTGTTCATCTTTGCTGATGAAGCCACAAAAAGAAAAGGTACATATTGCTGTATGTACACAGCAATTCTTCGAGAAATTAATGTTTTAGTGCCATAAAAAAAATGTTTAAAAAAATAATAATAAAACAGCCAAGCACAAAATTGTTTCTATAAAATGAGACACACTTACCTCATTGGCCCCTGAAAATAAAGGTTCTCCTGTATGCATCTCCACAAGTATACAGCCTAGACTCCACATGTCAATGGCCATGTTGTATGGGATTCCCAGTAACACCTCAGGGGAACGGTAGAACCTTGACTGAATGTACTGGTATATCTGTAAGACAGGGGTAAAACTTTCACAATCCTCTCTTTCACCAAATTTCACCAAAGATAATACACTAGCAAGCACACACCTTTTTCTTTAATTACAATATTGACATTAACTACATCAAGTAATGCCACTTACCCTTTGCCCCATTTGACAAGAACTGCCGAAGTCCACAATCTTGATGGCACTTCGCTTGGGGTTGCACAACAGGATATTTTCAGGTTTGAGATCACAGTGAATGATCTGAAGCTCCGGCGTGGACAGGAAGAGAAGTGCTGTACACAGCTGCTGCGCAAACTTGCGGGTTAGGTTGAGTGAAACCCCCCTGAAGTTGGTGTTACGCAAGAGGTCGTACAGGTTGTAGGATAACAGCTCAAACACCAGGCACAGGTGATTACGCCACATGAAATGACGCTTCAACCGCACTGTTTGGATGAGGACAGGATTAGAAAAGACAATGAAATAATAAAAATGTATTTATACTAAAGAAAAAAAAATTAGATATTTAAAAGAATCAATGGATAAAATGAATTCACAAATCAATCTATGTAATAGTTCATCAGTACTTGAGAATTACAGTTTTACTCAACATGACAGAAGAAAACAAAATTTCACAATGGCAATGACAGTAACAAAGGAACGAGACAAGAAAAACTGTTGCATCATGACACATGGAGATGATTTACTGAATAATCAAGATGAATCCCTAGTAACTCAACAGCTCATAAAATGCAAATACATCAGTATGGAAAACATCTGAAGATTGGCAAAACAGATGTCAAAGGATGAAGAATGGCAGAAATGGGAAGGTTAGAAAGAGAAATAAAGGAAAGGAAGGGAGAGGGGAAGAGAGGGAGGGAGCAAGGAAGAGAGGAGGAGAGGGGGAAAGAGAGAGAAAGGGAGGCGAGGGGGAGAAGGAGGGAGAAAGGGGGGAGAAGGGAGGGGAAAAGGGGGAGAAAGGGAGGGAGGGGAGAGAGAGGGAGGGGGGGGAGATGGGGAGAGGGGAGGGAGAGGAGGGAGAGGGAGAGGGGGGAGGGAGAGGGAGAGGTGGGGAGGGAGAGGGAGAGGGGAGGGAGGGGGAGAGAGGGGAGGAGGGGGAGGAGAGAGAGGAGAGAGAGAGAGAGAGAGAGAGAGAGAGAGAGAGAGAGAGAGAGAGAGAGAGAGAGAGAGAGAGAGAGAGAGAGAGAGAGAGAGAGAGAGAGAGAAGAGAGAGCACCATCACCAACCTATGTTACATTACTTCACACAAAAAAGCACAACACTATCACACTAGTACTCTAGGGTCAACAGCAATTTTTCTTAGCTAAAGTCATTCTCTTTTCTCATGCAGAATATTACCCCATACCCCAGAGTTGTTTGCTGTATTATGTTAGCATTAGCTGTGTGCCATTTCCCTTATTTCACACTAAATAACACAAAGCACCTCAGCAAACATCTTATTTTTTGTTTCTTTTTCAGAAAAAAATAATAATTTCAAATAAAAAAACAATATTCAACATAACCTAGTTCATTAACACACCTCTTTGTGTAAGAAAATCTGTATATTTACAAATTCAAACAGTACTCTACACATCAAATGACATCAAATAAAAAGGAGTTTGTATGATACTTAAAAAAGCAGTGCTTAATTATCAATTTTACTTCAAAGTTTGTGAGATCCTTGATAGAAGAAAAGACAAGAGGAAAAAAATGAAATTAGTACTTTTTATCCTTTTGACATACACAATATACAAATTAATACCTCAGCCCATAACAGATTTGTTTTTGGATTTTGTCCTTTAGCTGCTTTTTAACCTAATATAGGCAAAAGAAAGACCCTGACTACTGTCACCCAAAAAAGGAAAAGAAAGAAAGAAAGAAGAAAAAAAAGCTGAATAAAGCAGGTGATTCGATAAATAGGGATCTCTTACACCACTTTCCCCCCTCTTCTTCCTTACTTTAAATTTCAAATTTATGAACAAAAGTCTTTTAATCAGAATTAGTTCAAGAAGGGATATTAACAGTTACAGCTAAAGAAAAGTAACACATATCAATAGTTGGTATAATCACAACAAAACTGTTAGTCAAACTGTAGAACAGACACGTTAAGATATCCAGAGTGTGTAACAAATGCATCCCTTAGTCAGTAACACACAAAGTACCTTACCAATAACTGAGCATACAGTTGGGTGTGTCTTAGAAATCCATACTAGGCAAACACAGTCACATTATTGACATGTACAAAAAAACAAAACAAATATTTTTTAAAAAGAAAAAAAATATGAAGCCATATCCTATACTGAGTGGTTTGGATATCAATCACATTAATAAGTTTCAGTTATGTGCAGAGTCTTCCCCAAAGTTATGTTTAACTCAACAATGAGCAATCTAATTCAGTACTGGAGACAAAAGAAAAGACAAATATGTAAATCCTAACTTATCAATAAATAGGGATTTTGGTCAAAAAATGAAAAAAGGAATAAAAGACAAACATAATTAGAAAGAAAGAATACAAGATCATAATTACATTCCTTAAAAATTGTAACCAATAGCTTTTAAACCTTCAGTGAAGGTACAGCTATAGCTGTCATGATGTATTTGGGTATTACATTATAAGCTGTAATGCTTCGCTCTACCAAGCAACTGGGCAGGCCTGGTGTGTATCAATACAAACCCAGCCAGAGAGTTTTTACTGTTGTATAATGATAACATCACAAAAAATTCTGGCCATGTTATAGGGTTAATAGGTAACCTTATGGTGACATGGCCTGATGTATTTGTGATGTAATATTACACAACAGTTTAGAATTTGTGGCCAGCCCTTAGCTGTGTACAGCCGACCCACACGTTGCGAGGCATGATGCATTTACACGTCGTAGGCTGTTACATCATGACAGCTAGAGCTGTAACCATTATTGAGGAGTTAAAGCTCTCATAACGATCAAAGTTATTTTGGGATATACCTTTCCCACATAATAAAAACACCCCAACTCCCCTACACATCACTTTCTCTGGGTATTTAAGGCTGCAAACTAACTGCGAAACTCAAATGCTTAACAACAGCATACCAACTCCAGATGCAAGACCTCAAGGTCCTGCTTCTACTCACTACAGTGCTATACTTGTTTGCCTTTAATAAGCCACTATAACCCACAATTTAAAATCACAACACTAATAATCATCTAAGAAGCAGTACCAAATTTACCTGTAACAATACATCCTAGACTTTTTTTTTCTTTTTCTTTTTAACCTTTTCTTCATACCTTTTAATATGGTGTTTCATATACCACTTCTTTGTCTGATTGTCTTTTTTCTCTCTCAGAAAGAAAAATAACCATAAAAAATGAAACATAAATATATAAATAAATAAAATGATAGCCTCTACTTCCCTATAGACTGAGGTAGGCAAAAAACAGGGAAATAAATGAATGTAAATCTTACAAGAGATGAAAGGAAAACAATCAATATTTGGTTGTAAAGAATGGTAGGCACCAATATATATGACAAGTTTCCCATTTTCTTAATAGAAAACAACAAAAGGAAAACAAAGAGGACGCTACAAGTGAGCTGAAGAAGATAAGGAGAGAAAAGAAGGAAGAGGAGAAAAAAGTATATGTACTATATAAATAAAGTATAATATTTAGATATAGATATATATACAACTGCTTGTGAAGTCCTGCCTGTACTTTTAAACCTAGGTTCCACAGCCTCCTCTGGCTTCCCAGTTTCCCATTTTGTTTTACTTAAATGGTACTCTTCAGGGACTGGGATACCTTGGCTGGTTTCAACACACTTTTAACCCACTAACGACAGGTGTCCCATATATGAGACACCCGAAAAAATAAACATTGCCAGGCGTCCCGCCACTATAATGCTGTATCGGGGCTCGCGCTCCGACGCAGCAGCAGGCGGACAGAGTCTGGGGCAGCTCCGCCCACAGAATTTGTAGCCGGCCGGAATTTTTTTTGGCTTCAAAATATACTGGCGTTAAT